CCTTCACCACACTATTGTCTGTGTCCATGGGTTGTGTATATATGCATATAAGTTCTTTGATTAATCTCTCCCCACTCACTCCCCCACCCCAGCCTTCCCACTGAGTTTCATCAGTCTGTTCCATGCTTCTATGTCTCTGGATCTATTTTGTTCCTCAGTCTATTTTGTTTATTAGATTCCACATATGAGTGAGATCATGTAAAACTGAATCAGGAAGAATCAGAAAACCTGAATAGGCTAATAACAACTGATGAAATTGAAGCAGCAATAAAAAACTCCTAGCAAACAAAAGCCCTGGTCCAGACTGCTTTACAGGGGAGCTTTCTAATCCTTTAGTTGTAGGGTTAGATAGTTTACAAAACTTTTTCTTGCTTTTTGCGGTAGGCCTGTAGTGCTATGAACTTTCCTCCTAGGACTGCTTTTGCTGTGTTCCATAGATTTTGGGTGGTTTTGTGTTCATTTTCATTTGTTTCCAGGAAGTATTTTATTTCTTTCTTGATCTTATTGGTAACCATTCATTGTTTAATAACATGCTATTTAGCCTCCATGTGTTTGAATGTTTTTGAGTGTTTGTACTGTAGTTGATTTCTAATTTCATGCCATTGTGGACTGAAATGCTTGATATGATTTCAGTCTTCTTGAACTTGTAGAGACTTGTTTTACATTTAAGGTCATTATTAATAGGTAGTTATGTATTGCCATTTTAATTCTTTATGCTTATGTTTCTCTCTCTCTCTATTTCTACTTCTAATTACAGCAGTTCCTTTAACATTTCCTGCAGTGCTGGTTTGGTGGTGATAAACTCCTTTAGCCTTTTTTGTCTGGGAAGCTCTTTATTTCACCATCTATCTTGAATGATAGTCTTGCTGGATAGAATAGTCTTGGTTTCAGATCCTTGTTTTGCATTACTTTGAATACTTCATGCCTTTCCCTTCCGGCCTGTAAAGTTTCTGATGAGAAGTCAGTTGACAGCCTTATGGAAGCTCCTTTATAGGTAACAGATTGCTTTTCTCTATCTGCCTTTAATATTCTGCCTTTGTCTTGAATTCTTGGCATTTTAGTTATGTGTCTGGGTGTGGGCCTCTTTGGATTTTTGCTTGGGACTCTCTGTGCCTCCTGAACTTGTGTGACTTTTTCCTTGACCACGTTAGGGGAATTTCATGCCATTATTTCTTCAAACAGGTTCTCTAAACCTTGCTTACTTTTGACTTCCACTGGCACTCCTATGATGTGAATATTGTAATGTTTCATGTTGTCCCACAGCTCCCTTAGACTCTCCTCCTGTTTTTTAATTGTTTTTTCTTTTTGGATCTCTGATTGAGTGATTTTTTCTACCCTGTCTTCTGTTTCAGAGATCTGATCCTCAGCTTCATCTAATCTGCTGTTTATTCCTTTCAGTGTGTTCTTTATTTCTGCTATGTCATTATTAATTTCCTGCATAGTTTCCATATCTTATGCTGTTGAGCATTCTTACAATCAGTATTCTGAACTCTATATCTAGATAGATTGCTTATCTCCATTTCACTTAGCTCTTTTTCTGGAGACTTCTCTTGTTCATTCATTTGGGGATTGTTATTTTGTCTCCCCATTTTGTCTGCCTGTTTGGATATGTTTCTGTGTATTAGGTAGATCTGCTAGGACTCTCAGTCTTTTTGGAGGGTCTCTGGTGCAGGCCGATGTCAGACACAGTTTGTGACTGGCCCTGAGTACTCTGTTTGGAGCTATCAACAACCCTTGGCTTGAGGTCTCCTCTGCTGGGGCTGGGTGCAGTTGGACAGGACCAAGATGCACACCAAAGTCTGCTTTTCCAAGGCCTGGGTCCGGAAGCAGATCAGGCAAAGACTCAAAGCACCCTGAAGTCTGCCTCTGCTTGCAGGCTGATTAATCTGATTCTCTTAATGAGCCTCAGGCTGTAGAAACTCCACAGGGTGAGGCGGCTGATTGTTATAAGTCTTAACCAGCCTCAGGTGGTAGAAACTCCTTAGTGTAGGGCGAAAGGTTTTCCAGCAGGGTGGGGCAATTGCTTTCCTTCCAGGCAAAAGCAGCAAAATGTCTGCCTGAGAGAGATGTCCTCTGTAGTATGGGGGAATGACTCGGCACAGGAATCCAGAGGGGTGCCCTCTGAGTTCTATCTCCAGAGCCCACAACCCTGCATTCTCCTCACACAGCTCTAGTCCACTCTGCCCTCCCTCTGCTGGAACCCAAGGTGAGTAGCTGCACATGAACCTTTGTCCTTTGGCACTTTAAGAGGGTACCTGCATTTCCAGCCACCTCTCCCTGACTGCTGCTTTCCACAGCCAGATGTTATGTGGGCATCTTTCTTAGTTCTGGTGCTCTTGGCTGGGAAGCCCAGCTTGGGTTTACATCCCAGAGTCCTCAGTGGGAACCCCCCATGACTGAGATATCCCTAGGGACCTTCAGCTGCTGCCTGTGGGAGCACAGCCAGCCCTCTCACACCTCTGCACTTCCTACCAGTCTCTATGTGATCTCCACTTTTCCTCCTTGGTTATGAGGGTGCTTTCCAGCTCATCCTTAGTTGCAGTTGATTATTCAGGATGGTTTTCTATGTTTTGTAATTCCAGTTTGGTCCTGGGAGAGTGTCAGTGTAGCTTTCACTCAATCTGCTGCCATCTTTAATCTCAAGGATCATACTTCTGAGTAAAACTAGAATGAAACTTTTGTCCTTTATTTCTTCCCAATTACTTGGATCATTCTTTCTTTTACTGCTACTGCTCCATTCAGAAAGATTTGACTTTTTTTGATGACAGAAGTCTGGTGAAGCTTGTTTGAAATCTGTAAATTAGAATTAAAAATAAATAATATGAACTTTACTGTTCTTATTTAGCTAATAGTATTTAAGTATAATTTAAAAAATAGGCTTGATTAAAAATTAAAATTGTAGTTCATGTAAAAAGTTATAAATAAATGTCTATAATTTTTCAGATACTTATATACTTAGGATTTTAATAAATAACTTTTAAATGTCACATACTATAATTTGATGCTTTTGTAAATGACTAGTCTACAGCTTTCACCATGGAAGTCCTCTTATCCTGAATGGGTGTTGTGGCAATGTCAGATTGCTATAAAACTTTCTAAATGCTTATTCTCAATTCCTATGCTTATTTTGTTACAGACTAGTAACACGCAGTGTGCTGCTTGTCACCTATAGATCATTCATTGATTAACATTGATTGAGGTTATTTATAGTCTTTTACAATGACAAAACATTCTACTCTGAACATTATTGTGCACACATCTTTGTGCTAATGTGTGAGCATATCTGTAGAATAAATTCCTGAAGTATATTGCTGGACAAAGAGTATGTATATTTCTGATTTTAGAGGTAATTGCCAATTTGCCCTCTAAACAAGAATATTTCATCCATTATATCCCATCAGTGGTATGAGAGTAGCTGTGGTATGAGAGTGTTTTATAAAACATTTTCATTTTTACCTTTTATAGGTAAAAAAAAAAGTATATTATTATTTTGATTTGCATTTCCACAGTGAAGTCGAGCATCTTTCCATATACTTATAAGCCTCTTGTGTATGTTTTTCTATGAAGTGTCTTATCATGTCCTTTCCTATAGAAAGAGGCTAAATATTGGTCTTTTTATTGATTTATAAGAGCTCTTTATATATAGTCATGCACCACTTAAGAATACGTTCTGAGAAATGCATTGTTAGGAGATTTCATTGTTATGTTAACATCATAAAGTGTACTTAGACAAACCTAGATGGTAAAGTCTTATATACCTAGGCTTATATGGTATAGCCTATTGCTCCTAGGCTACAAACTTGTACAGCATGTTACTGTATAAAACAGCACAAGATTAATCATGCATAAAAGAAAATGATGCAATCAAGAGATACGGTAAGCAAAAGATGTATGAGGTTACTGCTGGTGTAATGTGGCATACTGTTTTATTGCAAACTTTTTTTTATAGTTAGAAGGAGTATACTCTAATGGTAAAAAGTATGACATAGTTAATACATAAATCAGTAACATAGTCATCATCATTATCAAGTGTTACTTACTATACCCAATTGTATGTACTGTGCTTTTATATGACTGGCAGCACAGTAGATTTGTTTACAACAGCATCATCACAGACATGTAATAGGAATTTTTCATCTCCATTATAATATTGTGAGACCACTGTAATATATATAGTATGTTGTTGACTAAAATGTCTTTATGCAATGTATGAGGAAAATTAACCCTTTATCTGACAAATATGTTGCATACTTTCCCCAAGTTGTTTGCTTGCTTTTTGAAGTACTGATTGAAAAAAATGAGTATGTACTGAGTTAAAACATTATTATTGATTTTTAAACTTTTGTTTTGTTTTGATAATCCTCACCTGAGGATATTGTTTCCATTGATTTTTTTTTTTTTTTAGAAAGAGTGTAAGGGAGGAGGGGGAGAGAGAGAGAGAAACATCGATGTAAGAGAGACACATGGATTATTTGCCTCCTGCAAGTGCCCCAACTGGGACCGGGTATTGAACCTGCAACCCAGGTATGTGCCCTTGTCCAGGAATTGAACCTGCGACCCTTCAGTGCTCTAACCTTTTCTGAACTTGGGTGCATGCTTACTATTTTGCAGATGGTTCAATTTTTACATTTGCATGTATATGACAGAAATAATGTCAATATATTATATATTTTTTATTTCTATGATATTTATTGGTTCCATATCTACATTTTTTGGTACTGTAATGAATCTTTTTAAAAAAAATCAATTTGAGAGAGAGGGAGGGAGAGAGAGAAACATCGACCTGAAAGAGAAACACCGATTGCTTATCTCCCAAATGCACCCTGCCCGGGGATCGATTGAACCTGAAGCATAGATATGTGTCCTGACAGGGAATCAAACCCGCAACTTTTTGGTGTATGGGACAGTGTTTCAACCAATGAGCCACCCGGCCAGCGCGGTACTGTAAAGGATCTTGTACTGATGTTTTATGTGAATACAGTGGTACCTCGGTTTTCTAATGTAATCTGTTCTGGAAGACCGACCGAGTTCTAAAATGTTTGAAAACCAAGGATAAATAGCCGACAGCTAGGCCTCAGGATCTTGCACTCAGCAGAAGGTGTGTGGCATGTTCGACTTCTGAGGTGTTTTCGAACACTGAAGCATTTACTTCAGGGTTTACAGTGTTCGTAAACAGAAATGTTTGGAGACGTTTGAAAACTGAGGCACCGCAGTGTTTACAACCACTGACTCTTCAGAGGCTCACTGGCCTCCTAGCTGTAGAGGAGTTTGAAAGAGTACTACTTTTAATGGTAGCCATCCTGATCATATTTCTTGTTTTGCAACAGGAACCAAAGGAGGAGAATGGATTGCAGAAAATGAAGACAAAACAGTCGAATAGAGCAAAGTGTTTGGCTAAAAGAAAAATTGCACGTATGTTTTCATTTTTGTGGTGAGAATAGTTTACAAATTATAAGTCCTAGTGTTGGCAGCGGTGAGAATGGCACCAGGTTAGACAGTGGGGTCAGGCCAGATCTTGGTTCAGCAACCTTGGTACCTGAGTTCTTGCTAGGAAATAATTCAGAGCCAAGACCCAAACTATAAGAAAAAGTTTATTTAGAAAGTCACAGAGGTAGAAGAAGCGAATGGTAGAAGAACTGGGCTCAGGAAACAAGTTACCGAGGCAAAAGAAGGGCCCTTGGAGCTTAGGAGAAAGAGAGAGGCAAGGAAAATGCACCTGGGGGGAAAGGGAGGGAGGGAAAAGGCACAGGCTTGCTCCTGGGAGGGAAAGTGTGCTGGGTCCTCTGTCCTAAAGGCTTTTTTAAGGCTGGGGACTTTAGGGGAGGTCCCAGAAGAAGGATCTCAGTAGAATATTCATTAGCTTTCCAGGTGTGTTCTTTCAGGGTCTTGGTCTCCTGCCAGGGCAGGGTGTCTTTAGTCAGTGCTGCTAGCTGGTCCTGAGGTCATGTCTGGTTTTGTTGCTTTTCTGGGCCTGGAGCTGAAACACAACTGAGGTCTAGATGTATTTGATAAGGGCCAGAGCCTCATTGGCCTGGGAGTTTAATGCTTAAGGGCTATTCTCCAGCCCCCTTTTTCATTCCTCCTCTAAGAGGGTTTAACCCACATGACTAGCAATATGCCAGGGGTGGGAAAGGTCAGGGGAGGATCCGAACCTCATACGGCCAGCAATATGAAGGGTCAGGGGGCCTAAACCTTATGGCCAGCAATGTGCTAGGGGAGAAAAGATTACCCTGGGGGCAAGGTCCTGGTTTTCCCAGTGTTGCTGGTTGCCAGGTGCTTGGGGCCTTCCACCCTGGCCCATCATCCTTGCTCTGCTCATGTCTGTCTAACTGCGTACCACAATAGAATTAACGCTAGATTCATTAGGAAAATATTTTATTCAGGATGTATGTGTTTCTTGTTTTTCTGGATTCCATTAAAATTTTTAGGAGTTGCCCTGGCCAGTGTGGCTCAGTGGGTTGGATGCCATCCTGTGCATCAAAAGGTTGGTGGTTCAATTCTCAAGTCAAGGGCGCATACCTGGGTTTTGGGCATGATTCCCTGTAGGGGGCGTGTAGGAGGCATGCCCCTTGTGCTCTCACATCAGTGTTTCTCCCTCTCTCCCTCTCCCTCCTCCTCTCTCTAGAAATCAATAAACTAGTCTTTCTCTTTTTTTTAACCCTCGCCCAAGGATATTTTTTCCATTGTTTTTAAGAGAGAGAGTGAAAGCGGGAGATAGAGAGAGAAACATCGAGGTGAGAGAGACACATTGATTGATTGGTTGCCTCCCACATGCACTCCGACCAGGGCTGGGGATCGAGCCTGCAACCCAGGTACGTGCCCTTGGCTGGAATCGAACCCAGAACCCTACAATCTGCAGGCTGATGCTCTAACCACTAAGCCAAACTGGCCAGGGACAATAAACTGTTCTTTGAAAAAATTATTTTAGGAGTCATTATTACCTATTTCTTATACAATTGACTTCTTAGAGGCAGAATATTAAAATAAAAAATGTGACCTTCAGACTTAGGCACACTTGGATTTGAGTCTTTAGGCTTTAATCCTACTATGTGGACCTCACTGCTTTCAGCCTACCTCTTTTTCCTTATCAATAAAATGCAGATAATATCACTCACTTAGAAAGTCACTTAGTAAAACTGTAGGGGAAAAAACTCTTCTGTGTGTCTCCTCTACTCCTAGCACTTCACTCTGGTCATGAAATGTGTAGGGTTCCCCCCCTACACCAAGCAGTTCTTTAGCTCTGGCAGACACAGACCATGTGTCCTACAACTTAATTCTGACACTATCTCCTGGATAAGGACTTAGTCCCACATGGCTATACCCAGGTTAAGGGCTCATTAGTTCATCTAGTTCTTTTTAAAAAATAAAATAAAATCTTTATTAATTTCAGAGAGAGGAAGGGAGAGAGAGAGAGAGAGAGAGAGAGAGAGAGAAACATCAATGATGAGAGAGTCATCATTGATCCGCTGCCTCCTGCACGACCCCGACTAGGGGACTGAGCCTGCAACCTGGGCATGTGCCCTGACCGGGACTTGAACCGTGATCTCCTGGATCCTAGGTCGATGCTCAACTGCTGAGCCACGCCTAGCCGGGCAGTTCATCTAGTTCTGAAGGGTTATTCAGAATCATCTTGGTCAGCCAACCATCTTCATGACAAGATTTGTTGAAAAGTCCTGGATTTTTTGCCAGAGCTTCATTAATTTCAGTTACTTCTCTTGATAGAGGAGAATATAATTCACTAGCAGGTTTCACACTTTCTAAAGCACCAGACTTACCTTGTTTGTTCAATTTTGTTCCAACGTCAGGGAGACTACATTAAACAACATCTTTCAAAGCTCCCTGTGCAAAACTGCTGTTTCCCACTGTTCCAGTAACATTTTCTGTTGTTATCCATTAATCTTTGTGAATTTACACACCCAGAGCAGAGCAGGCTGTGTGCAACGCCAGCATAGCCCGCATGCTCAGCCCCCAGGGCCTTGTGAGCACTGAGGCAGCCTGTTGTGTGCTGCTGGTAGCACCATGTTGGCAGGGGTGCCGGGGGTGGGTTGCCGCACAGTTTCTCTGACTGGAACCAGCTGGCTGGACTGGGACACGGGCTAATAATTATATTTTTGCATTTTAATGTGATGCGAAATGTTCAGATATTTCAGTGAACTTTTTCAAAAGGTATGATAACTAGTTGAAATTATTACAACAGTTGATTGAAGATAAACAAGGCCTATTTTTCATTGTTAATTTGTGTTTTGGTGATTTAAGGCATAATTCTCAGCCTTGTAAAATTGATCAAAAACAACTCTGTTGTTAAATCACTGAATTATATCTAGACTTGGCTATTACTATGGTTCGATCTGTTGAATGTACTCAAGTTACTTTCAGACTTGAAATTATCAATATTAGTTACTTTTTGAGATGCAATAATCTTTATCAATTGATGGTTAAGTTTTTACCACCACTGCTAGACTGTTGATAGTTGTCTGGTTAGTAATTCTTGAACTTCATAGTCAAATTGGGCTTTACTTGTTTATTAAGTTGTGTCATGGTTTTTTGTCCAGTCTGACAACTTCTGTCTTTTTCATATACATTTAAGGTAATTATCGATGTGATTCTATTAAAATCTATTTTGAAAGCTGTTTGTTCCAATTGTTTCTTTTTCTATCCTTTCTTGCATTAACATTTATTTATTTATTTATTTATTTGAGAGAGGAAGGGAGAGAAAGAGAGAGAGAGAAACATTGGTTACATTTAATTATGCATTCATTGGTTGATTTTTTTTTTAATCCTCACCTGAGGATATTTTTTCCATCGATTTTCTTTTTTCAGAGAGTGGAAGGGAGGGGGGGGGGAGAGAGAGATAGAGAGAGAGATAGGTAGACAGAGAAGGGGAGAAACTTCGATGTGAGAGAGACGCATCAGCTGGTTGCCTCCAGCACGCACCCTGACCAGGGCTGGGGATCGAACCTGCAACCCAGATACATGCCCTTGAATGGGAATTGAACCCATGACCCTTCAGTGTCTGGGCTGATGCTCTAATCACTGAGCCACACTGGCCAGGGCCATTGGTTGATTGTTATATGTGCCCTGACTGGGGATCGAACCCACAACCTTGGTTTATCAGGTTGATGCTCTAACCAACTGAACTACCTGGCCAGGGCCTTTTTTGCATTTGTTAAGTATTATTATTCTACTCGACTTCTTTTGAGTTATTTGTTTTTAAAAAATGTTTAATGGTTGCCCTAGAGTTTGCAGTACATATATTTAATCACAGTCACTTTCAAATACTGTTAATTTCTTCACATGTGGTGTAAAGACTGTGTAATAGTACACTCCCAATTTCTTTATACATTCCTTTGTATTATTTTTACTTTTACATGTTATAAATACACAATACCTGATACTCTTTTGCTTTAGATAGTTAATAGTCTTTTAGAGCAATGGAAGTAAGTAAAGAATTATATACTTTGTGCCATCTCAAGGGATATTTCTTTGCTTAAATTCCAGTTTCTGTCCAATATCATATTTTTTCTGCTGGAAAAGCTTTTTTTAAATGTTTTAATTTATCTTTATTGTTGAAAGTATTACAGATGTTCCCCTTTCCCCCCCATTGATCCACTCCACCCCACATCTGTTCCACCCCAGGCCTTCCCCATACTATTATCTGTGTCCATGGGTTATGCATATAAGTTCTTAGATTAATCTCTCCCCAGCCACTCCCCACTCTTGCCTTCTCTCTGAGATCCATCATTCTGTTCCATACTTCTGTGTCTCTGGATCTGTTTTGTTCATCAGTTTATTTTGTTCATTATATTCCATATATGAGTAATATCATGTGATACTTATCTTTCTCTGACTGGCTTATTTCCCTTTCTCTGACTGGCATAATACCCTCCAGGTCCCACCAGGCTGTCTCAAAGGTTAAGGGATCCTTTTTCCCCCCAGCTGCATAGTATTCCATGTCCAAGAAAATGTCCAATATGATTTCAATCTTCTTATAGAGACTTGTTTTGTGTCCTAACATGTGGTCTATCTTTGAGAATGTCCCATGTGCACTTGAGAAGAATGTATATTCTGCAGCTTTGGGGTGAAATGTTCTGTAAATGTCAATTAAATCCATCTGATCTAGTGTGTCACTTAGAGTTACTGTTTCCTTGTTGATTTTTTGTCTGGAAGATCTATCCAGTAAAGTCATGGGGATGTTGAAGTCCTCTACTATGACTGTATTGCTGTCACTCTCTCCTTAAAGTCTTCCAGAAGTTTTTTTTCAGCCTGTGTGAGTCTTTTGTCTGAGGTGGGTCTCTTGTAGACAGCATATTTTTGGGTCATGTTTTCTTTTTTTTTAAATAAGATTAAAAAAAAAAATGTATCTTTATTGATTTCAGAGAGAGGAAGATGGGGAGAGAGAGACACACACATCA